TACAACATAGGCTGATCAGGCTCTTCTCCGCAAAAACTCGCGACTCGTGACAATACTCGCGATTCGACTCGCGACTCGCGACTCAACTCGCGAGAAACTGGAGCTGAAAAAATAAATTTCGCGACTTGTAAAATACATGTCGCGACTCGCGACTTAAAATCGCGACTTATTTATTTATTTTTTTATTTTATAATTAATATGTTTATCACATAAACATTTAATTATCTTGTTTATCTCATAAACATTAACAGATCAAAATCTATTTTTAAAGATGATAACCGTGGCTCTGATACCACTGTTGGATTCGCCTGTACCGTACGAGCTATATGCAGCGGAATTTAAAAATTTTTAAAACATGTATTTAACAATTAAATACATATCTCGTACATATCTCGTACATACATATGGCGAATTAACAAATCGTCATCTTTAAAAATATGTAATAATACAAATTTTGATTTGTTTGATAGTAAATACAATATTTACCGTTAATCTTGAACTCCTTCAAAATCGTAGATGGATTGAGGAAATCGGTTTCCGGATTGGTAACGTCACTTCACTTCTTGTGCTTGTGGTTACTCGCTTTAGGAATCCACGTGTCTTCCCTATAAACGTATCCACCTTTCGAAATCGGGTTCCGACGATAGCTTCTTCGCTAGTAGAAACTTCTCGGTTTTTCAATAGTATAGAATATATATATTTTATAAGGAAATATTTCAAGAACTTTTCTTGATATTACACTCAACTCTTTGAATGTGTTTCTCTCTTGGAAGAACTTTGGAAAAATGACTTAGCAAATTTTATGTAAACTCTTTACACATATTTATACTAAACTTTTTAGTATAAAATAATCAAGATTTAGTAATATTTAAATAAAATCAGATTGTATTTAAATATGATTTACTAACTATTGACTTTTATATAATAAACAATGTGGAGTGGTTCTCAACCTCTCTTAACCACCATTTATTATAATCCTTAATTATTTTAATCCTTAATTATATTAAAGATAAAATAATAAAACATTAAAATAATAATTCTTGAAAACATTTTTCAAGACTTTATTATTTTAATCATTTCTTCCAATTTCCTTATTTAATAATCATAATTATTATTTGGATTTGAAATTTAAAATCCAATTTTAAATTTCAACTATTAATTAGTAATTCCATTAATTACTAAATTAATATCCAAAATTCAATTAATCAATCCATATGATTAATTTAATATATTCCATAAATTGATATCTAATCAAATTAGATTAATCAATTAATTCTAACTCTTTAGAATTACTATTTGAATTTTACCTTCATTCAAAAATTGGTGTGACCTTTTAGGTTCACAATTAATACTAGTAGTGGGTTTACAACTCTTTGTAATTTGAGTTAATTTTTATTAACTCTTATTCATGAATTAACCCTTTAATTCATGAACCCACATATCATGGGAACACCTAGCAAGTAGCATGAATCTAGTATTAAGTGAATAGCGAGTAAACCTATTTCAATTACAATTACATACATGTAAAATCCTTTCGACATCCAATTTCCCGATTAAATCTTGGGTATGATTTTAGTCGAAACCCAAATTGATTTAATAACTATGATTCTATTTCATGTTTAGTAATTCGTTTATGAATCTCTATTCATCCCGCCTTGGCCAAGGACTTTGAATTACTAACTATGAAACACATAGGAAATTCACTTATCTTCATAAGTGTCGAATCCTTTGTTGGCCACTAACAAACTTCCATACATAATACCCAAACTATCCCTTTATACAATTGTGCTAGCAATCAAAAGGATAAATCAAAGTAGAATGTAATATGCACAAAATTACCAGTGTGCCTCAAGTCTTAGGATTAATCATGTACTATTGTAACATGAAAATACTTATTCGACAAGACAAATCTTTCATTAAGTATTTTCATACGGTCATGTTCAGTGAACTTGTTCTCTAACAAGCACTCACATATATGTACTTGCGTCCCACGCTAATGTTGATAGAATGCAACATTCTTGTCCAACAAGCATACATACTATGTGCAAATCTTTTATGGATTATTTGATATCCCATCTCGAAACATCCATCGAATTGGAACTTTATTTAAGATCACGGCTTTCAAGATATGTTCCATGATTACCATCTCTATGCGCAACCATATCTTATAACCGTAAGTGATCTAGGGATTTTATCTTAAGTGCAATTATATGATAAATGCTTACTCTTAAGATAAAGTAATGCCTTTTAATTAATATAATTCCAATAGATTGTATTTACAAGTAGAATACATCCAATCAAAATTGGAATGCTGGGTATACTACTCTAACAGTTAGACCATAACCAGGAGCAATTCTGTGATTTGTCTGCATCAAAGATAGAGCAGATTGGAAAATATTTATCCTTCAGAATCCTACTCACCAGCAAGGTAGGTTGGGTAGTGATCCTCCAAAGCTGTTTGCAAATGAGAGCTGTGTTGAAAAGCTGGAGATCCATAAATCCTAATCCTCCTTTATCTTTTGGGAGTGTGAGTTTATTCCAAGCTGTCCAGTGGATCCCATTAGAGTGCTCTTCAGAGTTGCTCCACCAGAAATTAGAGTTAAGTGATGTGATAGCTGCACACAAGGTCTTAGGAATTTTGAAGCATGGCATAGTGAAGACTGGGAGTGCTTGTAGAACTGCTTTAATGAGCACAACCTTGCCAGCTTGAGTGAGAAGCTTGGATTTCCAGTTGAGGATTTTAGGAGAAACAACCTCCAAGATGTATTTGAAAGTATCCACCTTAGATATTCTAATACCTAATGGCAAGCCTTCCATGCAGAGAGAAGCAAATGTTGGATTGAATGTGCTCTGGAGTGTTCCTACTAAAGAATATAGTAGATTTGCTCAAATTGACAGCTTGCCCTGTAAACAGCTTGTATTTCTCCAAAATGTACAAGATGGACAGAAATTGATCAATACTGGCTTTACAGAAGAGCAGTGAATCATCTGCAAAGAGCAGATGA